TATCATATACAGCGGGTCCAAGCTCCACTGCCTCGGGATTTTTACCCAAGATTATTGTTTTGTAAGTGGTTGATCTATACGATGGCACTTATTATTATTAAGATTTTACCAACTATTTTATTTACGGAGGAAAGCAAATCTTCCACTAGATGCCATTATGAACTTTCACAATGACCGATAAAAATCCCCACGTTATTGGAAATAGTAATTTTCAGCAAAAATTTTCGCTGAACGTTTGGGTAGGAATAACTACCTAATTGCACGTCCAATCCAGCGGCATCCAAATGCCGCTGGATTGGACGCTCACTGCGACTCCACTGGACCATATTCATTTCTCATTACTGTAGCAAATTTCAACCAAATCGGTGTAAGGATATTTATCATATTTTATGAATACTGTTTTTCTTAAAACGACCTAAAGAATCATCCTCTGAAATTTTGTACTGTAGTTAGAGAACACTCTGTGTAAATAAAGGTTGTATGCATGACTTATACATTCTGTTTTACCGCAATATAGAAATATTTGTATCAACTCGAAGGACAGTAATATTCTAATATAATAGCTACTGTGAAAACTTTTAACCGATAAAAAAACTATTACCCTCTCATATTTGAAAATAAACCTTCAATTGTCTCTCAAGATAAAGCTCCTCAATTCAAAGCATGAGTTCCACAAAATTCAATTATAAACATGAGGTACACAATATTGATCACAATATTGATTTACAGCTAGACAAAAGAATCATTCAGAGCTTATTAGTAATAACCATTATTAAATCCTCCATGAATTTGGGGATGGCAAGAATGTCCAACTTACTCGACAACGATACTGAATCTATTATCAACTGTCAAGGATACTAGATTCAGGCTACTTCTGGGGCAGCAGAAATGTCAATATAGCAGTTATCTATCAATGTATCATTTCGATTCATAATCTGCTTCTTTGTTATTTTCCACGAATCCACTTCTTCCTCTGACCCTACTTTCTTCAAAGTAACAAAAAGTTTGTTTTTATGAAACAAATGAATAGTTTATTAAAATCATGAGGTACATAATATTGATCACAAGATTGAGTTGAAGGTAACAAAAATATCATTGAACACTCAGTGGTAGTATCCACCATGACCACCGTAAACTTGAGGATGGCTAGCATGTCCAGACTTTTCCACAACAGCGTTGAATCCATTATGGTCATCGGCAGTGTAGTGTACGGTACGGAGGGTACCATCTGGATCAGCCACGGTGTAGTACCCTTTCACTACATCACCATCACGAACTTCGTGTTGTGATTTGTGATCTCCAGTGTGGGGGTCTGCTACTCCATATTCGAACTGATATTTAGGGTGAGCATAGTAGTCTTGGTCGTACCCATGGGACAGTCCATAACCTCCATGGCCATGGGCAAGAACAGGTGCTACGTATCCATGGGAAACAGCCGGCGACACAAGGTGATTGGAGACATAAGATGTAGAGTATTCAGGAGAGCCCAAGTAGCCTGCATTCACTGCGGTAATAACGAACACAACAACAGCAACCTAAGAACAAATTCAGAAATTCAAATTCATTACATCCTTATCCTAGTAACAATAAATAGATTGGATAAGCAAAGCTCAGGAAATAACAAATTACATTGGGCTGTGTGATAATGTACAATTAGGGGAAAACGAAACATTAATAATATTAAAAAAAGAGATGAATATACATCAAAACTTCGTGATGTTACAATTTTTTATCAATGTGGTTCTTTATCAATACAAAAATCTTCAATGATGAAAAGAGAAATGGAAATTTCTATGTTTTTTACCACTTTTATTTGTAACTAACGTTACTGCAGTTTCGTCCTATATGGACACTTTCAAACTTGAACAATGAAGTTTATTGAACAATAAAGTTTATTGTTCAATAAACGTTAGTTACTGCAGTGGTAAAAAACATAGAAATTTTCATTTCTCTCTTCACGTAGTAACCGCTACATTCATCAATTTATTCAAAATCGTCAATGCCGTCTGCTGTTGAAAGTATTTTTCTGTGAATTATATTACCTTAATTCACATTATCAAAAATATAGTTTTCTCCAATCATTTTTTGAAATCTTGTAAATATTTAAGAACTTGTGCTATTCATCATAATGTGGAAAATCGGAGTTGAGGCCTCAAAACCTCACGAAACCAGCAAATAGTCGTTCCACAAAGTTGTTTCAACAAATAGTAAAAGCAAATCAAATCAGAATGACAGATGAATGAATCATTATAATTGTATACGATATCTATGAATGTCGAAATAAAAAAAGCACCACTTTTCTTTCCCAAGGTATTAATATCTCATTGCTTGCAAACAATGTTTCAGAAACACTCATCAACTGAAATATGTACACTTTTCACGAAACTACTTCACTTGATATCAATGAGATACCGACTCCCTAAGATATTAGTGAAACACTTTTCTGGTACCCACCTTGGAAAACATTGTTACGAGAGATCGGATTGAGCTGCGAACCAAGACTGAAGTGTTCAACATAATTATGTCTTTTATAGTAATGTTATGCATGGGTGAAGCTGGAAGACCGAAATATAACAATAACACATAAATATGATGAAATTGAAAATGTGGATAATAGTGACCTAGACTTCACTGAAAGTGAATTTGATGATTATGAGACATTGAAAAAGTATAACAAGTTGGCACATTCTTCATCTGATATCTAATTGATATATAATAATTACCTAATTGCACGTCCAATCCAGCGACACCCAAGTGCCGAAGAACCTCAAAATTTTCCAGCTTGCAGTCCTGCCATGAATCCTCTAGATTTATATTTATGGGTTCATCCCAAGGCTCTTGTTCATGAAACTCCTCTACTAGAAGTGAATGACTTGAGAAATCGAATACCTATTTGACAATGTCATAAGGAATACTCTTGGATATTTTTGAATATATCTGAAAATCAATAACAAATCGATTGCAGACGTGTATTTTATCAGAAGATGGACATTTTGCACATTAACTTTAAGGTCGAAACTGTGTATTATATATTTTTTCCTAAACTACACCTTGATCTCCACAAACTTTATTTGCGAAATATATCACGACATGTTTCGCTAACACCTTATCTTCTTCTCTCTCTTTGAATATCTCTCACACGTAGAAAAGAAGTATCTTAGAATTAACACTCACAAATTCCACGTCAAACGTAATTCAACCAGAATAGGATAGGATAGGATAGGAGTGATAGGATAGAAGTGATGCTCAAAAAACTGTTCTACGGAGTAAAAGCAATTTTACACTAGAAACTCTTTTAGTTTTCATCAGGGTCCGACGAAGTGCCAATGTATTTGATGAAAAACAACGAAATTTCACAAACCAAGTTCGAACAGAGCGTTCATTAACGCTATCATTGCCAAAACATTGCCAAAAATTGCCAAACATTTTACAGCAATGAAATGATAAGAGGCAAAAAACTAAAATTTGGAAAAAATGAACAGCACCAATGTATAGAGTAGAAAATTATCTATGGTTGGTATATATTACGACATAGTCTTTATTGAGATATGGAGTTACAGAAACACAAGATACTGAAAAGGACAAAACGTTTGAAATAACCTTATATCATAATTGCCGTCGGTCCTAACTTGCTGGCAGTTTGTCGCGATATCGTAACAATAAATCCAAACCGAGATGAAATATTTCTGTGGTTAAGATTGAATATTTATGATAATTGATAATGAAATTCAATTTGATGTCTCGCATGATTTTCAGAACATACTGAACAAGTCTAAGTAGATGCAATAAGGTGAGCGGTAGAGAGAGAGAAAGAGAGAGGGAATGTGTTTATTATCCAAGATACAGGACCTTTTATTGACAAACACAGGTAAGAAGATAACTACATCCAGATAAACATACATTTACATAATTACATGAAAATAATACATATGAATAATTAGATCTAGGTAAAAGTACACATATATTATCCCGTCAATTTCATATCGTTTCGTCATAAAAATATTCTGTCAGAATGTAATAGGCTTTAGATGCCAGCCTCTCATGTAACTTTTTCCTAAAAGTTTTGTGAGAATCCGTTCTTTATATTTTCAGGAAGTATATTATACACTTTGACACCGAAGTTAACTATTGAGTCTTCGATCAGTGTGGATTTAGGGATGATTAATGATAAATAAATTCATTGCATTCCGTGCAGTGCGATTGTTATTTTCATATGAAGATTTATTCTTGTAAATGAGACATGTAACTTCTAAAACGTAGATTGAGGTTAGTGTCAGTATTCCGTGTTTCAGGAAAATAGGTTTGCCGGAACTCAACCTATTTACCTGGCACAAATACGGCACAGTTTTGCAGCAAAAGTACACTCTCACACGAACCTCAAAACTGGATTGCGTACCTCAAGTTTGACTCAATGAGAGTAAAATAGAAATTTTTTGCCGCAGCATAACTTAACAATGGAAAATACTTTCAGAGTGTTTTCCATTGATCACATACAATGTACTTCTAAACCATAATGTTACATAACTTTAGAATGTGCATTCAATAACAGCATGATACCACAATCTCAATTATAACTTCGAAAGAAAATAAGGAACCATAACAGTATCAGTAATTCACAAGTAAACTATTCCTCAGAAACCGTAAATCACAATGAAATATTAATATCGGTTTGTTTCATGGAGCAAAAAAGAATTGTTAATAGTTGTTTCAGTATTGCACATATTCTATATTTTTCTACTTCGATGCAATGTACCAACATGCAGAATGGATTCAGTGAAAGTCAGGTGAATATGTACTTACATTGTATAATAGTGGAAGGAGCCACGCCCGTTGTCATTGGTGACTCGTCAATCAGACTAGTTCCAATAATTTGTCAACCACAGTGTGCTTGGAAAATTCTGAAGAAAATGGTTCAAATGATATTGAACTAGACACAAATTATACCGTACGAGCACGAGTATCTTTTGAAATCTTCAATGTACATATACGAGGTATGTTCAAGAAATAAGGTGTATGTTCAAATTTCGTCCTGGCTGTCTTAGAACATTAACAACCGATGAAAATATTGAGAAAATGAAGAAAATTGTGGATGAGAATCTTCGAATTATTATAAGATAAGTTGCTGATCATCACTCAGGAATTGTTGAATAATGGTTATATGATTATGACATCGAAACCGAAGTCCAATCATAACAATGAAAGGGCTCAAGATAGCCAAGACCAAAAATAAACATGCCAAGTTTGATCAAATCGCAAGGTTTTCCTCACTGTTTTCTTCGATTGCCCTAGCATAGTGCATCAGGAGTTCTTGCAGTCGTACGGTAAATGATAAGTAATATCTTGGAGTTTTGCGCCGATTGTACAAAAGTCAATAAAAATATTTTCGGACAGTCAAGCGACGTTGAAAGCTCTTGGCTCCTACCGAGCAACGTCTAAATTGGTATAGTCTATCCATTCCCAATTGGAAGGCAATAAAAATAAGAGTACAGTCATAAACATTTTTTGCCTGTGGCCCCCAGTCGCCCAGATAATTAGTAAACGTGCTATCAAATGTAGTTGAGGAGTGAAGGCTCGGCTAGCTGGACTGGCTGAATACTAATTTTTTGTCCGTTTCATAATATTTCTTAATCAGTGCCGTGTGTTCGTGGGGTTAGGTGAGATAGTGAGTGGTTTTGCAAACCGATTTTTGAAAACTTTTTCTAGAGATCAATTTCCCTAACACCAAACTGATATTTTTGCACTTGACGCGCGTTTCGCTAACAAGGTTAGCATCTTCAGGAGAGGCAAATTGATACTGAATCTAAAGACAAGGGTTAGATGTTTATATACCTGAAGTTTTTTGGTCCGATGTGGACTTTGTTTGTTAAATGATGATTATCCTAATTGAATTTTCGGTAATTAACTAGTGAAACAACTACCTGCAAATTAATTTGTCAACAATAGATTAAAAAGCGGACAAATTAATTTGCAGGTAGTGGTTCCACAAAATCAATTAGGATAATCATCATTGAACAAACAAAGTCCACATCGGAGCAAAAAACTTTAGGTAATTAATCTATAGAAAATGTTTTCAACTTTTACAACAAAGGTTCCAATCTCATCGTTTAAACGGATTTTTGCGAAAATCTTAGTGTTTTTGAGTACTTTCATCAATATGGCTTTCTGGAGACCTTTTGAAACAGATGATAACATTACGTGTGAGGAGGAATCTGTGTCAATCGACAGGGATCCGGAATTTGAAAATAAGGACTTACATGTTCAAGTTCAGTGAGTAATTTTAAATATTCATGAATGCTTGAAGAAGGAAAGCTGTCACACTTCACAGAATGCTATTATAAATAGAATATGCGAGTTAACGAAACTATCTCGTTCGACAGTTCTTCGAGTCATTGAAATAGGGAATGTCATTTACCATGCAATGAAACGAAAACAAAGGAATAAAAAATTCGCAAACGTTGATGGTGCTACAAAATATGTGATTCGGCTAACAATTTATGGTATATACCAAAAAAATGAAGTACCGACCTTGAAAATGATTTGCTATAAATTACTCGACTATCCTGATTACAATTACAAATCTTTAGAAACTCTACGATGTGTCTTATTGTCTTGTAGTTTCAAATATAAAAAATTGAACAATTGGATGGTCATAATTGAGTCGACACGCATTGTTCAACTCCTACAAGAATATTTGAGGCAAATGAAAAGCTACCGAGAATTCAGCAGACATATAATCTACCTCGACGAAACTTGGTTTGACACCCATGATGTTGACAAATATGGCTGGGTAGACGAAACCAAGTATTGTGCTTTGAACACACCTTCTTCAAGGGGAAAACGTGTTATAATTTTGTATACCGGGAATGAAAGTGGTTTCGTACCTAACGCTTTGCTTCTGTCGGCCAAAAATATAAAAGATTCGTCTGCTGATTGCCCCAAAGATATGACTGCGGCTTTATTCGAAACCTGGTTCAGTGAGCAGCTTCTCCCAAATATTCCTCCAAACTCGGTTATTGTTATGGATAACGCTTCGTATCATTCTCGGTTATTGACTACAATACCGAACAATAACACAAAAAAAAAAGCAGATATTGTTGATTTCATGCGAAATCATGACATGGAAATACCCGAAAAGATTCCAACGAAAAAGGTACTACTGGAGATTATAAAACAATGTAATTTCAAAAAAGAGTATATTATTGATTCGATGTGTGAAACACGTGGTCATATTCTTTACGTTTGTCTCCATACTATTGTGTGTTCAATCCAATTGAAATGGTTTGGGCCACAATGAAGGAAAGCTTGCGGAAATGTAATCAGTCACCGACTTTGAATGCTGTAGTGCTTGACAATATAAGGCGAGTGGTGAATGAAGTAGGTAATGGTGATGTGTGAAAGAACTGTGTGGCCCACGTTATAAAAGAAGAGAACAAATATTATGTGCAAAGTTCCATGAATTCGATTGTTATTTAACCCGAATATAGCGAAGAAGAATTTTGATTTTTATAGCAATTTTGTTGGCCTATATTATTTTGTAAATATATGTTTGACAAGAGTTCGGTGTGATTATTTGTGTTTTCATTGTATTTTAGAGTTTTCGACTCGGAAATTAACTACCTTAAATTTCGAAGTTTTTCATAATTACCCATTGTGGA